TCAAAGCACCAATAGTGATGAGAAATTTTTCGCTTTATTTTTATTAAATTTTTAAATTTAATTTTTAATTTAATTTTTAATTTTTTTTAGTTGTTTTTCATTTATTTAATTAGTTATTTATTAAGGTGTGTTGGCTATTTGGTCTCTGGTGTGTAAAAATTTAAATTGTTCTCATTAACGGCAAAGGAGAAGAAGTTGAAGATTTGAGGAAGAAGAAATATATAACTGGAGTTGAAAGTCAGCGCTGCGAGTCTGTTTGCCTCTTGTGTGCATGTGAGTGTGACTGTTCATCCACGCTGTTCCATCCAAGAACGAATTACCAACTTGCCCAAGCATCCACATTAGAAAGCTCAATTACATTTCTCGAAGCATTGTTCGACCCTAGTTTTAACAGACAACCAAAACAGTACGGGCGCCACACGATGATTGTTGGGCCGTTGGCAGGGACGAGGAGCAGACGAGCAGACGCCAGACGCCCCGCGCGCTCTCGCCGGAAGCCGGAAACGGCGGCAAGAGTCGGCGCGACCTCAGCACCTTCGCAGACTTTTGGCGCGCAGCGGCGGATGCGTGAACCCTTCATGTAAATATCGAGGGCGGAACCGCCACCAGGGGATAAATTAGACGCTGTCGGCCTCTAGCGACACTCGTTTGAACCGCCAAGCTGCATTCTCCTGGCTGGGCTGTGCAGAGTGGCCGGCCGCAAAGCCCACCCGGGCAGCATACGCAGAGGTCGCCCGGCCGGGCTCAGCGCGGTGCGCAGCTTGGAGGAATACGCTATGTATAGGAATGATTTCACATTCCTCCACATTAGCAGTCTTAATTAAGTGTCTTTGTAGTTTTTCCTCCGAATACTATCTCCATGGCGCTATTCGACATGGTCAGTTTCAGGAGCACGATGGCAAGTTCGGATAGCAACAGAAAAATGGCTGATCTCGCGTTGTTATTTGTATCTTTTGCATTCTTCCAAGATGACATCACACAGTCGTCAGTAAGATTTCTTATATTTGTCTGAAGGACCCTGTACTCTTACTGAATTTTTGAGATAATCGATATCTGCGTGACATAACCGGGACAGTCGCGGAATTTAGTCCTCCGGTTTCAACAAATTGATGACGATTGCTCAGGTAGGAATCGAACCACCGCACAAGTTTTCATTACTCAGTAACAATCTTAGTTTGATGAGGAACTTTTAATGTGATACACGATCAAACTCCTTTCCAAAATCCAAAAAGATAACATCAATGTGCCCCCGCCCTCTTCTCCATGACTTTCGCAAACTCATTTACGGTATGTTGTGTAACCGTCCAGAAACTACGCAGGAATCCATGATATCGATCAAATATTAACTTATTGGCTCCTAGGTAAGTCATAAGATGCGGGCATAAAAGCTGTCCAAGAACTTTGCTGCATGAACCAAGCAGGAAAACGGGTCTGTAATTGCTCACTTGACGTATATTAACAGTTTGATAAACGGATTATCATTTTTTTCCTTTTCGCCTGGTCACGTACAATAAACTGCTCCATTACTTCATTAAATATAACAAAAAGGGAAATTGAAAACCACCGTTACTAGATCAACTCAGTTATGGAACTTCCCATAGACGCTGCACATTGGAAGGGGTCCGAAACCGTGTCCGAAAACGCGTGGAATAATGCGCTGCCGGCGCATTATTCCACGCGTTTTCGTCTGCTACTGCTCCGCGGCTGCTTGCGAGTCCCGACTCCTCTCGAGGTTCAGCATGGTTTTTGGTTAATTTTTGTCCTTTCGCCAGTAAAAAATTACAATTTGAGCATGAAAAGCGCTACGATCGTTTTGGCATACGCTTTGCATTATTGAGGAGTTTCAGCGACGGTGTCACCACCCTGGCGGCCGGTCGCCGAGAGAGAACGAGGGGGATAGGTTCGCTGGGCGTTGGCTTTGCGTAATGTGTGTTGGCCGCGAACGTAGGCTTATAAACTTTGTCAGCAAGAATATTACGCGGCTCTGGTGTTCTGGTACGACTCATGAGCAACGGAGGTGACACGATCTGCTACGACCACCCTCCGCAGCGATGGAGGCGTCGAAGAAGCGCGACCTGTGTACTACGCAGTCAGTCGCCGTCCCCGACGCTGCTCGTTTGGTATTCAGGGCTTTCCGCCCAGGTTCTTCGGTTGTGTATGGCACCGACTTATTTCCTGTGCTTGTGTGTGTGTTCAGTGGCTGGACATGGGCCTCATAGAGCAGTTCTTCAGGCTCAACAGCGACTCAAGGTTGACGGCGGAGGGACTTGCAGCAACGCTCTCGGTTGGTGGGTGGGACGACTACACAGGTAAATTTTAAGATTGCTGCTAGCAAGGTGGGCCTTAGTCGATTTAGGTTGACAGGATTTTAAGCGTAAGTACTCCGTGCAAAGGCGAATCTATCGCGTTTTTAATCCACCTTTGTTTTTGTTGTTTTTATCACGCATGACCGTCTACTAAGCAAGTGCTGCTGTACCGATCACGGAGTGAATAAGGAATTGTAGTAGACCGTTTTTCTCCTCCGATACGGTATCCCTGAAGAAAATACCGCAGCTGCGCCTGCGCGCCGCCAGCCTTGTCTGCATAGTTCAAGGTCTTGTGGCGGATTACGGAGCGCTATCCGGGTGCTTAGCGGGCTGCGGGAACGGTCTACTACAATTCCCCAATGTCATCGGCCTTACATTGCGTAACGTCCAATAAAAAGCCATGTATGTTCAGCGAGAAAACTTCCCTTTCGAGTGACCTCTTTATTTATAATTTCCCCCGTATCTAGGTGCTTTAATCAACAGGATCGATTAGGTTAGCTTCCCTAGTTAAACTGGTGGTATTGTGAATTGTTTTTCTTCCAAAGCTAAAAGTGTAACAGGTGGGACCATTCAGTTTGCTGAAAATGAGCCGATATGGGAATTTCGTTGCATTACTAGCGTTTTACGTTTAAGATTGGTAAGAAACATGTTCATGTGATGATGCAGATTCAGAATGGGCGTGCTATAGGCTACAGCCTCAAGGTTTTAATGAGCCGAATTGGTGATTACACGGCAATAAATATTGTGGTGGAAAACTGACCATTGACTTGGTGGGTTTTGATCGTGCTCATTGGTGTGCTGTTGCAAATGAGGTAATGGCACACCTTTTCCCTGACCATGTGGCTTCAAGGGACATTGCATCTAGATGTGCTTAAATATGTTTATTTCAAGGTTTAGTTGACCCCTCTGCATCATTACAGGAAGGCAGTCTAAAGCCACAACAAACAGCAGTGGATATACAATGCATAATTAGATTTATACAATGCTTAATTAGATTAAAGCCTTGGATCGCAAAAACTTTTTTGTTCATGGAATTGAGTTGCTTTACTCTGGTCCAATGCTACTACCATGTTTTCCGGACTATAGTCCGCGGGCGATACATGTTTAAAAGTATAGGCTCTGCAGACTATCTACAGGCGTGGACTATGGATATGGTTTTTCAAAATCATTCAGTTTTATGCTGTGCGGACTATTTACAGGGGTGGACTTATTTTTCAGAATCGTTTATACCTTACGAATATCACCAGACATGTGGGACCGCTGAAATAACGCTGTTTTGACCTGCAAATGTAACACAGGGTCATGCAGGCACTGTCTTTCCCTTGACCTTTCTGCACTCATGGGTGACCGCGGTGACATACACATTGCCCCCAAGGGGACAGGCATGACCTTGTGTAGGAGCTTTGTGATTGGGAAAAAAAAAGGAATCCCAAACAGCCAATAGCTTTTACTGTAAAAAAGTTGTTTCAGAAAAATAAGTGGCTCTGCAGTCATTCTGGAATACGGTAGCGATTCCACCGAAAAAACAAAGAGCATTTACCGTAGCTTTTAAAGTGTGTGTAATATAGTATGCACAAGAGGTCAAGTCGAATAGGGCAGCGGATGATGAGACGAGGGAGAGGATATGGGCATTCGCCGAAGAACTTTTGAAGAAAATGTCACCCAGGAAAAAAGCACGAAAACAGAATTCACCAGCTTGGCGGACTATGCACCGGGTGCGGAAATCAGGCCCTGCAGATTATGCATCAAATGTAAACTATCAAAACAAAACAAAAAAATGTTAGGCTCAAATTGGCTTCTGTAAACTATACGCCTGTTGCGGATTATAGGCCGGAATTTACGGTACTCTTGTACATGTACTGCCTAGTGTCTGTCATTCATCTCGCACAGTCAAGGCAGCATGTGCTTGAAATACACGTAATGTAGCTTTCTCACGAGACTTGTAATGTGGCTCTCATTTCGTTCTATTTGAATTACAGCTGACCGTACCTTTGAAAACACAATTAGGTCACACACCTCAAGGTTCAATAGCCGGAGACCCAGCTGGCACTGCGAGTAATACGATTGATTCTCCTTCAGCGCAAGCTTCTTGCCCCTCATGACGAGGTAGGGGATCTTTTTCTTTTTGACAAGCCTCCTGATGGATACAGTTTCACCACGAGTAGGGCTCTTGATTTCGATTAAAATGAGAGGAGTGCCATCCTTCATTACAACTCCATCCGGGCTGTAACCAAGCCATGGGATGCTAGGGTTCACAACAAGGCCAAACCTTTCTGGTGTATTGCCTGTCCTCGCCTCATACATCTCGAGTGCTGCAGGCTCCGACGCCTTCTCATAGGCTTGTTACCTTTAAATTTACGACCTGATAAAAGATTTTCTATCCTAAATTCCCACTCTGCCTCATCCAACGGCTCGAATGTGAACAGCCCACGGCAAATGCTCCCCGTTATGCGAAACCTTCTTTCGAAAAGCCAGCGTGTGTTATTTTGCAGCACCGTGACTTGACACAGCTGTATAGCTGCTTGCTTTGTGACTGCAATATGAGTATCAAAGAATAGTCTTTGCTCAGGAGTCAGAGAGTCCATCGAGAATGCAACTAACCGTATTTTTGAATCTGACACTGTTACTTTGTAGAAACATTTCATCTCCATGTAGTCTACCACTCCAGAGCAGGGTGTGATATGGTCGTACAAATCAATCATTTTTGTGGTCAGTGATGACTCGTGCAGTTTGACAATTTTTGGTAGCTCTTCCCCTACTATGACGTGCCAAAGCCGACTGGGGTGCTGCATTGATTAGTTCAAGACGTACTTCCTCTAGCAGATCATTGAGAAGGGAAGGTTGCTTCTGAAGTTTCACATGGCAGAGTTCGGAAAGCTTCCTGGGCTCGTAGAGCTTAGCAGTGTGATGCCTTCCCCAACACTGCGTCGAATCTGTTGAGGACAGCCCCTCTAAGTTATCGATACCAGTCCTAGAGAGAGGAAGACGTCAAATTAGTCACTTTCATTAGTTTAACATGACGCACAGTAAGATCAAAATTGCATTATTGATCACCATGCTCACCACATCTGTCAAGTTCGTGAATAAAATATTGTGAAACTAATTAAGTTGCCTGCCTTTCATAACTACAAAAGTTAAATACCTGTTGATGAACAGCAATGCAGCCACAGCATGCTTGCAGGTACCTGAAAGGCCTGCCTTACAAGAGCATTTTGCCTGAAATAAAGGTGTGTGAGTGCGTAATCAAGAATATATCTTGTTTTACTTCGCGTAGTTAGAGTCGCTCAACATGTCAGTCAGCCTAGTACATTACAAAATATAGCTAATTATTTTCGAAGGAACATGCAGCAAATGTTAAGAATGTGGAAGTAGTGACTTACATTTATTTTTTCCGAAAGGTTGACGTCGATTGTATGAAGTTTCGCTTTGACCTGGCTTGTCTGCACGCTTAGTGCGAATAATTTGACGCCAGCGTCGTCGCGGGACACAATGCCGCAACGCATCAGATGTTTAGCATTCAGCACAGCCTCGCCTTCCACAAGACAGCGTCGGCGATGTGGTGCCTCGCGTTCATCATTGTGGTCTCCAATATATGCTAAAATGTCAACCTAATCAAGAGTAGACGGCGGAGCCATGTCTTTTGGGAAAAGCGGGAAATGTAACGCATTTTAGCACTTTTTTTCTTTTCTTTTTTTTAGTTGGCAATTGTTTTTAGGAGTTTAACTTTAGGTTTTACGATTTGCATTATATATCAATATACCAACGATTTGCATTATATCAATATATACTAATTACATGTATCTCCACAAATATGCTTTATAAAAAGCCGACCAACACTGCAGGAGAACGATACCGAAACTCCGAAATGGCCGCGTGTTTTTTTACTGCCATCTACTGACGGAGACATGAAACTCGGCATATAAATCAGTAGCTTCATAGCTATCACTTTAAGATTCTGAAGTTTGTATAATCGAGCACTAGCTTTTTGAGAATATCTATATTGAGGTTTACATTTAGCGGATACAAAAAAATTAATGCACTTTTTACAGGTTTCAAAACTTGCGCAACGCCCCTGCCATCTAGCGGTCGGTTTCAGTAGCGTTCTCCGCGCGCGAAAAGAGCGATTTACGCGCTTTCCGCAGGTTCTGGTTTCTCGGGAGAAGCGTGAAGAATGGCGAAAGTAAAGTTTCGGAGCCACAAGATGTGCTCTGTGCCACAGTGTGACAACCGGGCTCTGAAAGGAAGTACAAGCCTTCACTCCTTCCCTTCGGACGCCCGCTTGAAGAAGGTTTGGCAAACTAAGTTGCGGATCGGCAAGCCGATCACACCGTCCATCCGCGTGTGTAGCCGCCATTTCACCCGCTCAGATTTTTTTGGAGCACTATCGATAAGTAATGCCAGTTCAGCACACTTGTCAGTGTAACAAATATGAGGTCACAACAGCAGGCTATAGCTACCTCTTGTCATAAATAAGAAGGGTTGCTCAACTACATCCATGCCACTATGTGCCTAGGGAGTGTTGACAGTGAGGAGCTAGTTTTTCCGATGATTAAGACCGCCTGGTTAGCCAAATACACTCAAGAAATATGTAAGCATTAATCAATGTTCAATATTATATCCAATGGTTGGTGGCTCTCTTATGATACACATCATGACACTCGTGATTTCATTTAGTGCGAACTTTAGGAACTATCAAACTACTATTTTCAGCGATTCAGTCACCCCAGAAAAAACGGCTCAAAAAGGGAGCTGTCCCTTCAACGTGCTTGCCAGTACGAACCCATGAGAGAAGAGCTGGCGCTGCTCAGCTAAGAGCACAAGAGGCCAGAGCGAGGAGGGCTGCAACACGACAGGATGTACCTCGTGAGTCTTTGCAATCACTATCTATTATATAGCATGTTCTCCTTCAGGTTTCGCTGAAGCACCAATGTAGTTCCATGCCAATAGTTAAGATATTCTATTTCTAACTTGTAGAACTTGCTACAAATTCACCACCACCACCACCACCATCATCCAGCGACTGCAATTCTCCAGAAGTGGAGACCAGTGCAAAAGCTACACTTGAAGACTTAGAAGTAGCAGAGATTCTGCTACTTCTACTTCAGACCTGTTCAAGAACCCTTGGCTCAAAGAGAAGTAGCCCAAGACAAGGCAGTGCAAATCGACACTTCTACTGCCCCAGTGCAAAACCAGAGGTTGTCCGACCTGCAAACCACTGACGCGTCTGTCAGAGCTTACACTGGCGTAGAGTCAATGGTTTACTCAATGCCATTGTAAGGTGTGCCGAGAAAATTCGTTCGCAAACGTCTGAGCTCACTATGAGAGAAAAGGTGATCCTCGTACTTACAAAAATTAAGACAAATTTAAGTTTCGCATGCTTAGCCATGAATTTCAAAATCAGCAAAGCATCCAGCAGTCGGTACTTCCACACCATACTGCAAATTCTCAGTCAAATAATGAAAGCAGCCTTGCCATGGCCAAGCAAAGACGAGGTCGTCAATAACTTACCCAGATGTTTTCAAAATTTTGCAAATGTAAGTGTCGTCCTTGATGGCACGGAGATCGAAATCGAAAAAGCAGCATGCCTGGCCTGTAGAATATGGACATACTCACACTACAAGGGAAGGCACACAGCAAAATTTCTAGTTGGCGTTTCTCCCACAGGGCTGATCACGTTCTTGAGTGATGGGTTCGGCGGGAGATCATCAGATAAGGCTACAGTGCAAAAGTCAACCATCTTAGAAAAGCTCGATGCATTCAGTGATGACGTCATGGTTGATAAGGGTTTTTACATATAGGACGAATGTAACAAGTTAGGGATAGAAATTATACAGCCTCCTTACTTGCGCAATAGGAGTCAATTTTCTGCAGAAGATGCCACAAGGACGGTAAGCATCGCTTGTGCACGGGTTCACGTGGAACGTGTTATTGCTCGCTTAAAGATATACCTCCTGCTTAAGGGGACTGTCCCATGGACACTGGTGCCTGTTTTGGGTGACGTGATGACAGTTGCAGCAGGCATTGTGAACTTATCATCCCCCATACTGGCTGAAAACAAGTTCTAAAAATGCTTTGCCGCTTTTTTAAAGAGGTACTCCGGCGTTCTCTTCATAGTCCCCGATTTGCTTAAAAATTTGCTAAACACCAACAAACATAGCTGAAATAGTAACCCAAATATTTGGCCAAAATGACTTTTTTTCTCCAAATTATAGAATTTACAATATTGGTCCTCGTGTTTTTCAAAGCAAAAAAACTCTCCTGGAAACATTGAAAAAGTGACTTCATGGGAAGGCAGGGGTTCACTCTTTGGACTGTAGACTTTGTTCCCAACTGATTACAAGCAGTTTCGTGGTATCAAATGAATGCTTTGGAAGGTCGCTCCAGCTTCCACGCAGCAGCGCAAAACAAATGCTTGGCATAGTTCATTTTTAGACAGCCCGCTGGAACCGCAAGCCTGCCATCCCGTGACGTCACGGCAATGAAAGGCGCAGGTATATCCGAATCTTGGTTTCGGCGTCATCTTCATTTGCCGATTTCACAATAACTATTTTGAATTTCGCGGTACTAAATAGCATACCGGAAAGAGCAAAAGATGGCGATTTCGAAAATATTGTTAGGCAAATATCGCCGGAGTACCCCTTCAACCCCTTACCACACAATTTACAAAATTACCTTCCCGTAGTACATGACAGCAATGGTTTTTACTCAAGCTGCGTGTGGATCTAAGTATGAGACATCTTCACTTGCAATGGTATTCACTCCATTACGTCGGCTTGGTTTTAGTTTTGAGTGTGCCGTTTATGTGGGTTTTTCTAGTCAAAAGCTTTTGCAAACACAATATATTCCGTTGCCAAGTTTTACCTCATGTTATGTCTGTTCCACACAAAAAGAAAAACCCCTCTCTTGAGAGAATCTTCATTTCAAAAGAAGCATTGGAAAAATGTTTAGGGGATGTTTATAATCTACAACCTATACAAAGCAACTTCTTGTCAAAATAAAAAGGTCAGGTAGTAAGGAGATAACCCCGGGACAAATGCTGTGGTGGGTTCCCTGACCCCGCGACTCTGCCAAACTTGTCTAGAAGTTATATTTAACCTTCATATAATTAGATGTGTGTCCACTCTGTAACAAAAGCATACATTTGAATAACAGAGACCTAAAATCCTTGAACATATACTATCTGACATGTTTCTAATATTCAGTGTGTGTGTTTGTGTGAAAACCTATTTTTGCCCTAATAAAAGACATTTTTAAAAGGACATGTGTCTTCTGCTGATACATATCTCCCAATTTATAATGCAGAGGCAAAAAGAAAATCAACTGTGCACATCTACCATTTAGCATAACCACCTTTTTCCATTCATTCTTGAGCACGCTCAAATATCAGCTTAAGTTGCTTTTGTCTGAGCAGCTTTGCACTGTTTTGTAAAAAAAAAAAAGTAAAAAAAAAGAAAAAAATCTTTACCTTTGTTCTTCTAGCATTTAATACAGACTTTAGTTTGTCGGCAGGTCATACACAGCAGATATCACCGTGGCACATGCAACTCGAACGACCGATGAGGCCCTTGCTATTGCGATAAAGCTTCCCACGAGAGCCAGAAGGAGGCTTGCAGGAGTGCACAAAAACAATGAAATGTGTTTGGCGCTTCCGGGGCTTGTTTACATTATGCGTAAAAACAGGACGGTCGGCGACCAGCTGATCGCAATATAACACCAAGAATACCGACTTTTAGGCACAGAACGCAGTATGAAGACCTCGATCGTCTCTTGTATGCTGTAGCTGTCAGACTTTTTATCCAACAGCTTTTTAGCGTAATTAACCAGAACCAACACCGAAGAGTTCGCCACACCGTTTACTGCGAGGCCTGAATGGTTACATCATCTAAGCAATGTCAACAACAATGTTTGTAGCCGCAGACCGATAAATTACGGTTTAGATAAAGTACGCGTCATAGTTTCAACTCGCCAACATTGTTGATATGTGCCTTTCTTTGGACCCGCGTACCTTCAGTTCAACTTGATGACAGCTGCACCAGCGTGAGAAAGCCCACGTCGAACACTTGCAGACATATCTTGAATATGCACCAGCACCAGGGTGAGAAAGCCCACGTCAAACACTTGCACACATATCTTGAATATGGCAAGATTTCTTGGCTTCGACTGGCTTGAACACTTCCTTTGTAGCATCACCGTAGGTCTGGCTTGAAGTGATAATCATCTCGAGCGCGGCAACAAACAGAGAATGACACGCTTTGTTTAATTTATACGCTACCGGTCTACGGGCGTCGCAAATCTATCCCCCTCTTGTCCGCCATGTTGGATCGATCGGAGCGCCCCCTATATTCGCTGAAACTCCTCAATTGTAAAATGCTGCTGCCTCAGCTGTGCTGACAGCGCGAAGCGTTTCGAACAACCCAAATTCGTCGGCGCCACAATCCGGTGGCTACAATCAGGGCAAGTTTGTACATACTGTAATAGTAGATGTGCCGACGACTACCAACTGCAGCAGAAACAATTTGAAAGTCGTCTGCTACTGTCAGAAAAAGCGCCACTAACATCCGTAAGCTCAGTAGGCCAGATGCAACGGCCATGTACGATCCCTATGGCAACGGCCACAAGCGCGCCGTCAATGATGATGATAGCGAGTATTAATGCGGAGCGCGCGCCCTCTAACAGGCGCCACGCAAAGGGACCCCTCTCCGGAGTGGAGTTCCAGAACTGAGTTGGTTCTAATAACGTTGTTTGAAAACACCATTAGGCATATTTAAAAAAA